GCCCCTCCGTGTGCACTTTGCTGGCGCGCCCGGGGATCCGCGACTCGCGCCGCACACCCTCCCCCGTCCGCCCTGTGCTCCTATTGGGCCCCGGAACAAGGGAAGCTCTCCTAGGCGTCGGGTTTTCTCCTTGATTTGTTCTCCCCTCGATTCTGGGTCTGTTGGGCAGTTTAAGTGTGGCTGGGGTGAATGTTGAGGCCTTGTTCCCCGCCGGGCCCATGGTAGGTTTCGTGAGGCTGCTGACGCGCCCACCTCGCGTCCCTTTTGCTTTCCACCAGCAGGTTGTGAAGTTGCGAGGCCGGAGCCCGCCGAGGGTTGGGGGTTTCCGTGCAGCCTGAGCGCTAGGCCTGGGCGGCCCTCGGCGCCTCTCGGTCGGCCGCGGCTGAGAAGGTGCGCGCACACAGTTGCGTGGGCTGGCTTGTAGGGAAGGAACCTGTCCCCATCGCGCCCTTCCCTGTCCTGTCCCCAGGGAAAGACGAGCTGTCCCGGTTTACTGAAGGTCACCTCTGCAACTCCATTCGTACAGAAGGTCTTTTAGGACTGTGTGTCGCCTCGTCTGGGAAAGCAGTTTGGAGGTTTAGCTGTTGGTGGGAGGGGGTGAAGGGGAGGGAGCGTTGAGGGTTGAGGACACAATTTGGGGTCCCAGGAATGAATTTACAATGCTTTCCTTTCCATTTTTTCTTTATTTTTTAGAAAAGTCGGTATGTACTTAACTCAGATTGCAAATATTTTGTGTCTTGTAGATGAACCTTTCTCTTATTGTTATGTGGCATCTGGGAAGTGTCTGCACACTTTTTAACTACCCAGCCCCTGATTCTTTGGGTCATATTTATCTGAATTCAATTTGTGCTTCTCCTTTAACTTAGGGAGACTGGGAGGCTCATCAGCATGGCTGCTGTCTGCCAGTGGCTGAGCTAATTGATTAGAATCCTGGCCCAATACTTTCCGCTGCCTTTTTCTGTAAAAGCTTGTGATGCTTATGGAATTCTGGAAAAAATAGGGAAAGTTGTCTACAAAAACCACAACAAAACAATCTCTAATAAACCTTTGTGAGCTAGCTTCTCTTTTTTTTTCTGTGAAATTGAGGCAGTGGTATCTGTAGAGCATCTATGTGTTAGACACTGCTTACATTTATTCCTTAAAACTAAACATTAAGCCTTCATGAAAATTATAGATAGGGCCGGGCGCGGCACTTTGGGAGGCTGCGGCGAGTGGATCACCTGAGGTCAGGAGTTCGATACCAGCCTGACCAACATGATGAAACTCCATCTCTACTAAAAAACGCAAAAAAGCCGGGCATGGTGGCAGGCGCCGGTAATCCCAGCTACTCGGGAGGCTGATTGCGCCGTTGCACTCTAGTCTGGCCGACAAGAGCGTAACTCCGTCTCAAAAAAAAAAAATGATTGATAGTACAAAGATATCTCTGTCCTTAGTCCAGTAGAATGCAGTCTTTTTTTTTTTTTTTTTTTTGAGACGGAGTCTTGATCTGTAGCCCAGGCTGGAGTGAAATGCCGAGATCTCAGCTCACTGAAACCTCCAGCCCCCGGGTTCAAGCGATTCTCCTGCCTCAGCCTCCCGAGTAGCTGGGATTACAGGCATACGCCACTACACCCGGCTAATTTTTTGTATTTTTAGTGGAGATGGGGTTTCACCATGTTGGCCAGGCTGGTCTTGAACTCCTGACCTCGTGATTCGCCCACCTTGGCCTCCTAAAGTGCTGGGATTACAGGCGTTAGCCACCGCACCTAGCCCAGTAGAGTGCAAGTCTTAAAGCCTGAGTTGTCTTCTTAGGTTATGGTTGTAGTGCTTGGTGGATTCTTACTAAATTCAAGTTTTACTTAATCCGTTAAAAGAGACTTTACAAGTCTTTAGCCTCACACTGCTGCTGTTGCCTTTAAGATCTTTCCCTTAATCACTTGATCTGGCATACCAGCTGACAGAGGAATCTTCCCAAGGCATCCTATCTTGTTGATTTACACAGTCCTCAGTGTCTTTTGTTAAATTCCCTTTGCCTATCAAGTGAAGAACACACATTGAGCTCCACACTCAAGGCCCTCTGCTCTATGGTACCAGCTTCCTTTTGCCAGGTCACCTTCTTTGGCTCCTAATTTAAACGGAATTAATTGAAATTAATTGCTGTTTTTCAGATGGTCCTTTGGTCGTACTGCTTCTTTCTCTCACCTTCAAACTGGAATATCCTATCTTTTATATCCTTCTAACAATTCTGTCCTTCCTTCAAGGCCGATCTCATGTCACGTCCTGATTCTTCTGTTAGTTCTCTGATTTGAATTCCTGTAGTATTTTGTATATTATAGCACTCAGCGTCTCATCTTGTATGCTTGTCGTATTCTAGATAGCTATTTCAGATGAGGGCAAACACTGTGTGTAGGGGCAATCAAATATTTGTCAAATTGTTGGGACCTTTCTTGTGTTGCCTTAACTACACTATTGTTAGCTATAATTTGGGGTCCATGAATTTTAAAACAAAGCCTGCATGAAATTTATGTCCTGCCAAACCTTTAGGATATACCTGCTTACGGCTTTTGGATGTACAATTTAAGCCAAAACAGGATGGGTTAGATTGGTGAAGTTTACTTTTTGCCTCTGAAATAATATCTAGAATATTAGTTTGTAGAATAAACATTTTCTAACAATTTTTTTTTTACATTTTTTACCTGTAAATGTAACTATTTTTACAATTCTTCATTTCCCTTGGAAGGAGTCCAAAACTACTTACCTGGAAGACCTTCCACCACCGCCTGAGTATGAATTGGCCCCATCCAAGTTAGAAGAGGAAGTGGATGATGTCTATCTCATTCGAGCTCAAGGACTGCCCTGGTCATGCACTATGGAAGATGTGCTTAACTTTTTCTCAGGTATATTTTATGTATGTTTTATTTATTTATTTTTTTCCCTTATATTGTTTCTCACAAGCAGATAGGTATATTTTAAGTATGTGATTTTGTCTGATTAAAAGGTAGTGCTACAAATCCACATCAGACTACACTGTCAACTTCCTTTTTGATGGTTGGAAACTGTCTCATTCTGGTTGGTTGCATATACCAAGTGATAACCATGTGTACTGTTTGCAGTATGTAACAAATTGAAAGACTTTGGGCCAGGGGCAGTGGATCAGGCCTGTAATCCCAGCACTTTGGGAGGCCAAGGTGGGAGGATAGCTTGAGGCCAGTAATTCCATACCATACTGGGCAACACTGTGAGACTGTCTCAATTTACATATATATAAAGACTTTGAATGCAACAAAAGTTATTTAATGCTAATATATTAATATATAATTGATATATGTAATTAATATAAACATATTAATGAATATATTAACGTTATAATTAGTTAATATATGTAATATAATATATAATTTATTAACTTTTACATATATAATAGGCTCCGGCCTATAATATATATAATTTATATATAGCATACATATAA